AAAAAAAAAAGAAATAAAATGCAATCAATATTTAAAATTTTTTAACATTAATTATCTTATTTATAATGTTATCAGCGTTAATTTCAGTAATTTTTTGGAATTCAGATAAAAATATTGGAGTACTACTAATCTTAAATAACGAGAATTAAAAAAATTTCGATTATGTGAGATTCCTAAACAAGAATTAAGTGTATATAAAAAAATAGTGTAGGAAGGGCGCTAAGGTTAAAAAATTCCACAGCAGCGAATGTCGGGTCCATGAAATTGGAACCAGATATGCTGCTTTAAAAAAGTGGATTTCCATTATTATGATATAATGTATTCAATTTAGGGCAATGATAGGTAGTGAATTCCAGACTGTATGGAGAAATAAAGTGAAAGGAAGGAACCCCTCGTCCCGTTGCACAACTACTTTAGTAAGGAATCCATTTTCAGAGTTTTCAGCTTTTGCCCCTCCATACGTTTGATTACCCAAGAATTCTGGATTAGGAATTTTTTTTAATATTAAAGAATTAGTTATTTGATAATGTAAATATATTTTATTTTAATTTTAAATTAAAAATTTTAGATTAATTAATTTTTACTTAACTAAATTCTTGTTGAGTGAATTCGGAAGTCCTTATTAGTTATTTCTCTTTTTGTCCTCAACTTTGAATTAGGGGAAAAGGGTTTTTCTACGGGATTAATTTCTCTTACTTTTAATAATATATGGATTTTAATAGTCCAAAATGCAATAATTAGAAATTTTTTTATGGTAGATGGACCCCTCAAAGCACTTAAGACTACATTAATCCAAGGACGAAAGGAACCCTCACTCAGGTGTCAGCTTAACGCTCATATAAATATAAATATATATATTATGGAAAGCTCATATTTTCATATTAGGACAACTTTAAGAAACATATTTCCTAATTGATAATTTTTCTTGTCAAAACACGCGCGGGAAACAAACAAAATGAGGAAAATTTTCAAACGAACATGAGAAGCTCGTGGTTATGTGAAAATGCATCAAAATCGTGATTATCGTGCACTAATTTTCTAACATGAAACCGTCGGGTTAAAACGGCATGCGCTTAAATTAATAATTAATCATTCCCACGACTTTCTACCATGTTAAATTGTTAATATGTCACAACCGGTAAATAGCCTTTTTTGTTCGGCACCCAATTAGTAAATTGTGTAGCTAATAAGGTTGAAGAATGACATCCTTTTATATAGCGTTACTGTCACGTATGGTTCAGAGGCCTTTGTCAAACTGAGATTGATAATTCATACAAATAATTGATTCCAGATGTAAGGCTGTGATAGTAGTTATGACCCTTATTAAGGTCATATAAATTATATTTATTTTTATTGATATTTTATTAGTTTATAAATTTTTTAAATAATTTATTATAATATTTAAAAATATTTGTCTATATAATAATTTTAATTTATTAAGTGAAAATATTAATTATTCTATTAATAATTATTTTTTTAAGTCAACTAAATAAAATTAATGTTTTTAAAAATAATATTATATGACCTTAATAAAATTATGTGTGACTTTAACTACACCCTAAAAATAAAGTTGCATGGTAACATGATGAAGTGCAAGTTTTTATGTCAATTTATCACATGTTGAGTGAGTTATTTTTATTGATTTATCTTTTTTTTAGCTCAGGAGCTGAGTGAGTTAGTTTGCTAACCGGATTTAATCAAGTATCTTCTATTAAAGGAAAACCATATTTTTAGACTCTAAACTGATTTGAAAGGGCTTAAGTTAGCATTAAAAAAAAACAAAGAAAAAAAATGATGCTACCACTTGTAAATGCTAATTAAAAGTAACTTGGAAGACCGAATCTAGGGTTTCCCAAGCACCTCCAGCTTTTGTGACTTTGTCCTGATGTGGATGTTGAATCTGCCTTCTTATTCTGTTCATTTCTAATCCAATATAGTAGTATAGATCCCTTCTTTATTTCATTTATTTTGTCTCACGACAAACACTAGAATTAATAAAAGTGAAGCGAGCAATTTTTAGGGTTGCTCATTGGGAGTTTCTTTACTTGGTAATTGATATATATATATATATATATATATATATATTGTTT